GCGATCGGCGGGCTATGGACCCGCTGATCGCCTATATGTGAAACACCCGGTGATGGGTGTGTGCAATGGTCGGGTCTTTTCTGCCCGTGCGTGCCCGCTAGGGGGCGCGCGCGAGCAGAAAAAAATTGCTGTCTGGAGACGGCAACCCGCCAATGCAGCAGTGCCGTCCGTCCGTTTTTTTACTACAGGTGGGCGGCAAGAGGTTAAAGGAGAACTATGAGGTGAGTGCTTTTCATTCACCTCATAGTTCTAGCCGACCTGTGACAATGAGACTGTCACAGGTCGGCTCAGTAGATCGGGAGGTGAGCAAACACATACCGGCGTTCGCTCACCTCTCGATCCTGTCACGGCTCTCTGCCGTGACAGGGGAGGGGCTGGATTCCCCCCACTCCCCGCGTCAATCCGCCAGCGCTGACTGGCAGAACGGATGGGGGGGCGGGGTACAGCCGGCTCTACCTTTAGATAGGCAGAGCCAGCTGTCAGTCACGCAGCTGGGCGGATCCCGGCACAATTGTCGGGATCCGCTTCAGCTGCAGCTTCTCAGTATACGAAGGGAGGGCGCTAGTTTGTTTCCTCCCGTTAGCCTAAGGAGAACTATGGGGAACAGACTTAACCCCATAGTTCTCCTTTAAGGCTGTAGTATAGCTTAAAGTACTCATTGTGCAAAAATGTATGCTAGTTACATTTAAAATACATGTGATGATTTTTAATGAACACTTGCACATTATGTGCACGTTCTACCCAAATGCCCTTGCATTCAATCGTTGATCATCTTAGTAAGCAAAAACAAAGAACTCAGATTAGTAAATTTTACTGTATGTATGGATGCCGCTAGCGTTGCTGGTCTTTTCTGTGAACCATAATACTGTTCTTGAACATATTTACTAAAGACTTTTATTTTGCATTTTTAAATGTAATTATATTATTTTGTCTTTTTTTTTTATCCTACTCAGGTGGTTACAAATCGGGACACTCAAGAATTGCTTCTCTGCATAGCTTATGTATTTGAAGTGTCTACCAGTGAACATGGAGCTCAGCATCACATCTACAGGCTGGTGAAAGACTGAGCTGTAGAAAACCCTTCCCTATGACTCAGCCATGTTGGACTTGTGGACTTGACTGTCTTTGGCAGTCTCAGAGGCATTTAACATTCTCTTTTAATCCAAACCTGGAAAAATATGTAGAAGCTGCAGCTGTCATAAGGTGTTTTTTTGTTTTATTTTTAATGTTATTTTTATTTTTTACATATGTTGCTGCCAAGTGCATCAGTTCACGGTACAGCGCCATTTTAAAAGAAGGCTGTGGAGGATTATGTGGAATAGGAGATTTGTATGAACACTCCATGTCCCACATATTTTTTATTTTAATTTAGCTTCTTGGACCCCACTGAAATGTAAGTCCTGCACTTTCCGTGGTCGAAACATTGTAGCTATATCCACCATAATAGCTCACGTATTTTTTTGTTAATAGCTTGCACAGTATTTTAATCTGGTTCATGTTTCAACCTCATGTTGTGTGTGGCTAGTTCATAAGACTAAGAGATCCTATTTAACATATCAGGGAGTAGCAGAAAGCAAAAGTTCTACTGTGTGGGTTTAATGCACCTTTTTAGTCTTCGACGTGTGAAAGTTTTAAACAATGCTGGTGCATTTAATCTTCAATTTGGACTTGTGAAGTTTTTTTTAAATGGGAACGCAGAAGGTGGTATATAATGTGACTCAATAATAGACTTGTGCGCCGTCAGAAAATTTGTTTCGTTTCGGAATACCCGTTATTTCGTATTTTTCGTAATTTGTGTCCGAAACTCAATTCGGATTCGTACGAAATACGAATTTTCGTTAGTTTCGTCACATTTTCGTAACTTTACGAACATTCGTTATGATGAAGTTAAAAAGCAAAAATACCTTTTGTTAATATCCGCAGCAGCGGATCCAAATTTCGTATAAAAAAAAAATCTTGTCATGTTGTTCAACCTCATTTACAGGGGTAATATTAGTTCCCGTTTCAACGAAATTCGGATCCAAAATTCGTTAACGGAATTTTCGTTTTTCGGATATAATTCGGAAACTGCAATTCGGATTTTGGATGCTTCCGAATTTACGAATTTCAGGAAATTCGTACGGATTTCGATTCGTAACGAAACGAATCACACATGTCTACTCAATAATGGCTAGTTAAGCAGTTTTCCTTCTTGCCAAGAAAATATAGAATTTGGAGAATGGCCAAAGTAAATATTGACATCTGGTCCTTGACTGTTTTGTTGAGTATGAATGAAAGACCGATATTCAAGTTAAATTGGGAGCTTCCAACAAGCATTGTGGAATTTCTAACAAGTTACCCTGACCACAAACAGAGACTTGTCACGAAGACAAATGCTGAAGACTTTTGGTATTTACCAGTTGGACTTTTGTAAAGCAGGAAAAGTGTATAGTGACTTTCGCCCTCTTGTGTTGCAAATTCAGTGCCTAAAATTAAATATATATATTTTTTGTTTTGAAAACCAAGATTTTTTTCCTGGGTGAATTTGATATTGTTATGAAACTAATGTTCTTAAATGGCAGCCCACACTCTGAATGCTTTGCCCTTCCTCCTAAAGAAAGGCCAGAATGTTTTGTTGTTTGTTTTGTGAGCATGGAGAAGATTGGTCCTTTAAGGTGCCCATACACCTTACGATTATCGGACGAAACTTTTCGTCTGATGATCGAACCGTCGTACGATTTTCCCCCCATGCCCCATCCTGCCCCGATTATCGCAAGGTTCAATCAGCGGTAGTTAAACAAAAACACCTGGACAACTTGCGGTAATTGACCATAATTATTTTCGTTTGCGCAGTGTTAATCGTACGACTTTTGACGGACGGAAACGCCCCCAACCATGCGAACATCGTAGGATCGACCACATTTTTCAAACATGCTTGACCGTCAAAAGTCGTACGATTGTACAGTACTATCAGTCGGTCACTCTATTCACACGTTACGATTATCGTACGATAACCGTAAGGTGTATGGGCACCTTTACACTGCAGTGAGCTGATTGTTTTTTTTTTATGGTGGTAAAGTTGAAAGTGTAACAGCATTTTATGTGGGTGATATTGATGCAATTTGCAATGTGTGTGACATCTCTGCAAACTTTACACAGGGCATTTAATCATCACTATTGTAGAGCTTAGGTGTACTGTGAATCCAAAAAATGGTCCCTACAGCTTCTGTGAACGTGCTCACATAAGCTACTACTGTCATATGTATGGACTAATTCTTATGCATAGAAGATATATGTCAACTGCTTTGTGTCGCCTGTTATTTTGTGGTTGGAGAAGAGTGCCACAGGTACCCATAAACAGGCCAGGTCCAACACTTGCCATGTCAAAGGTTGAAGGACAATTATGCAGCAGTCTACTGCCTGGAATACCTACATTTAGAATATGGACCAATCTTATTGGAATTTTTTTGCCAAACTGTTGTTGGAGTATATATTGTCCAGCAACTGGATTATCACACTAAAAAAACAATGTTCTCAAAACTGTACTGTACTCTAATGTGCGACTGTCATTTTGTAGTTTATGCTCTTGAACACGAGATCTATCAAAGATATACTAGCTATGGTTATCTACTGATCTTCCCTCCAGTGGAAACTTTTGTTCCCCAAACACAACCAACCTACTCTTAACTTATAAGACTGCATAGGTTCAGACCTCCATTTTGTGCACTAATTTTAATGTGCCATATTTATGCTTGCTGTATAGGTCATATTTCCATCAGGAATCGGTATTTATCGAAATGAAGTCAAGTGGCCAGGTTACAGGCAGTTTTATTATTGAATATTCTTTTTTAGGGATTATGAAAGTGTGTGGAGCTAGACAGAAGTGTAAAATAAGCACTGCAGAAAAGGGTATTTAAATTATATATATCTTTTTTTTTTTAAAAAAAAAAAACCATGCAAACACATTAGATGTATTTTTTTCCCATTGTATCTTCCTCAGACTTTACTGGAAGTATAACAAAAAGCAAGAAATTTTTCTGTATGGAGGGGAAGCAGTAACAACCATAAATACTTTGATACAATGTGAATGCCATTAATATATTTGACCTGTATATGTGCTAATACTGTAATTGCTTTAAAAAGCCTTTGTTGTTTTAATGATTTTCAATAGGCCTTCCTGGTTCAGGCCCCTGTGAAAAATTAGAAAATTAAATGTGAATCAAATATCTTAAAACTAAACTCCATGAATAAAAACTTTTTATTCAAATATATTTATAACCACAAAGGATATATCTGTAAAAAATAAGTCAAGGCAACTGGACTTGCTGTATTTTTCTTGAAGACGTTTCACTGGTCATCCCACCAGCTTTCTCATTGAGAAAGCTAGTGGGATGACCAGTGAAACGTCTTCAAGAAAAATACAGCAAGTCCAGTTGCCTTGACTTATTTTTCTACAGATATACCATGACCTGGATGAATGAGAACCTTGACACAAAGGATATAAATCCACTTTGTGTGCATCAAATGCCTTTGCAACCCCGGTGGTTACCTTACAAAAGTTGCAGTGACGTCATCACTGTACTGCACATTAAGCTGTGCAGAGAGCAGAGCTGTGGGATGGATCCAGCAGGTCCACCCACTACAGGCTGCCTGAAGAAAACTATAGCACCCTGTACAAGGAGAGAGGGTAGCAGCAACTAGTCTTGATAACCGCAAACTCTTGCACAGAGGAAAAGTTTCACATCAGATGTGGGGAAAAAAATACACAAAGCACACCAAGATTCAGATAAGAATACATATGCCTTTTGTATTCAGACAATATTTGTTTAAAGGGTTCAGCTTAAAATGTTGTCACGCTCTGAAAAATGAGCCATGTCTAGTTGCCCTTTAGTTTGACATACATATTTTGAGGCTGCTTGCTACTCTCCTAAACATCCTGGCTGCATGCCATTATTTTTCTCACAGCTATATAATTGAGACAACTTAAGGATGGTCATAGGTGATCCATTGTTTGGCTGCCTAAGATTTACATGTGGACCTTTGGAGGTTTGAAGGAGAATTGTGACCTAATGCCAAATAAACATACTCCTTACCTTTACTCTATTAGCAGTATTCCTGATTTCCACAGCACATCTGGGATAAAGTCCTCCCAAAACACAGAAAACGGCCACCTGCAGCCCTGCTCCAAGCTCCTTTCCTCTTAGGGGACATTAACAGTTACTGCAGCCTGCCCTCAGCTAAATCTGGTGTGGCTGCGCTTTCTCAAAGCCCAGACACACCTGTGTGCACGCTGACACGCGGGAGGCAGTGTCTCAAGAAGACTTGCAGCAGCAAGTCATGGTAAGAACCGCTGAGTCATTCTCCCCGCTCTCTACCTGCTCTCTCCCCCTCACTCACTGTCTCTCTCTGTCTCACTTGTTACTACAATGCCAGCAGCCGCTGACATTGTAGCAACTATTAGATGCTTGTCAGCTTGTTTCTCTTTGTAAACAAGCTGGAAGGCATCCCCAGTGACATAATTCACAATATATGGTCTTGCACAGGGGGCAGGGAGAGAGCTGAGGGGACAGAGCTGCTGCCCATGCCCAAATGTTTGTGGACGCGTAGCTCACAAGAAGTTCCGCCAGTCAAAGTGACAAGAGATCCCTGGGGATGATCCCACCAGTATTGTGGGGATCTCTCTCTTTGCAGCGCTTAGCCCCGCCCATCATCTTAAAGAAACAATTACAGGCTTAAGGTGCATTTTGGATTAAAGGCGTAAATTACAATAATTTACTCATTTAGCCTAAGGAATCCGAAAATGAAGATAAACTTGGACCCCATAGTTCTCCTTTTACATGCGTGGAGTGACACAAATACATTTTTAACATGGCCAAAGTTTAACATTGTTTGAAGGACTTTTCACTGCTACGTGATCTTTTCATTCCAAGTGCACTGAAATGTAACACTGAAAATGACAGTGTTGTTTATCAATGTTTCCTTCTGGGCATTCAGATATTTGTTGTGTTTGCCCAAATGCTCAAGACCCCAGTAGCCATGTCTGTATAATTACTTGGTAAAAAGATCTTGAAGTCCTTGCAGTAGCAGCAAGATTATATTAAAGGGGTATATGAAGTATGAGTCTGGAGAAATGAAGATAAACAATTTCCTGCTGATAAAGTGACTAGAACCCTGATTTG